CCAACACATCGTTTTTCCTCCTAGATAATGTGATGATGATATAATTCTTAAAATTTGAATCACTCAATAACACTTGCAGTATCTTCCCCAAACACTAAACTAGACGAGAAAGTCTCACATGTTATGCTTCCCGTTCAATGAAGACGGCTTCAACCTTAGGAGATGAACTTTGATGAAGCAGATCCTCACTGCATTCTCTTGAGAAGCTTTGACGACTTCTACAGAGGCAAATCGTATATTGAGGACTACTAAGGTGGCTTTCTTCTGAATTTTGTTTTCTTGCGGCGCAAGCGGCGCAGAGAAGTCGTATGGTTCAAATAGTTTTTCATCAAATTTTGATTGATGGGTTAGGAGATATTGCAGCTGATGCGAGCTAAATTACTGGCGCAAATAATGACTACAAACGCCGCATAACTATATAAAGCAGTTTTAATGCATGTTCACTCAAATTGTCAGTTCTATTTTTGCGAATGCTAAAAGCAAGATCTTTCGCGCGCAGAGGCACCATACGTCGGTTGTCAACAGAATTAAATTGTAGGTCGATTTGCGGTTTATATCGTGCAGCTTAAATTCTAATCTATTAGGCTGGAAACTAAATTTTGCAACTGGTTTCATAACTTCATTCTCTTTCGATGTGGCGCATTCAAACTTTGGCATTATGTAGAAGGCTATGAAAGCTACAAGTGAGCACAAATTGTCTGAATTTTGAACACGAAATAGAAAAGTTTCAGGCGTTTTTCGAAAACTAGTGAAATTTGAGAATTTTTGGGGCTTCAAGCTAAAATGAAGCCTTTGACAGCCTAGACCATGCGCAGTAATCCGGACTCGTCTATAAATTATTCCTGAAGGTTGATTCCTTTGACCTAGCAAAAAAGAAACAAAATTTAGGGTCATGTCGAGATTTGCCGTCCTCACAAAGTCGAACGAGTCGATGTACGCAAGAGCTGCTGGGGACAACCGTCAATGACTAAAGAGTCCGAAGCTCAAATTCCACCGAGATTTTACATAGTAAGGTTATTTAACCTGCCAAACGCGATTATCACATTCACTTGTTGAATCAACGCCTTTTTCCTTGTTTAGGGTGAGACCCCATATCGTACACCTACAGTAATCCTACAAAAGCCCTTATCACGCAATTTCACTATCGTTTACGTAATCAGCATGTCAGATGACACCCCTATGCCAAGTTTCAGCCAAATCCGTCAAACTTTGAATTTTTCCCCTTCATACCATGCACCTACCGTAACCCTAACTGCGACGTCAGAATCTGGTAGATAAGCAGCTGCGCTTGTAGCTTACGTAACAACCAACGCAGTGGCAAAATTTGAGTGCGCCATGTTGAGTGAGAGGGAAGTTATGAGATCAGTTGCAAAACTTAGTTTCCAACCTAATACTTACACTCGGATAGTCAAGAAGCGTAGGCTTGTATCTAATGAAACTCAGTTGACACGCTCAATTATGAAGATGATTTCCTAGTCTAATAGGGACGTGTCATACTCCCCAAAAGCGCTTAAAAGCGCTCAAACCCCTGAGCACAAAAGCGCCAGAACGCAACTTTTAGCAGACATTTATTGAAACGCCAGCCAACGCTACAATTAATTTTGAATTGCGGAATAGGAATCTTTCAAAAACGTAGATTGAGAATCGCAATGATGACATCAAGCCAGGATGCAATCAATTTACAAATTCTCAGCATGTTATTTCAAAAAGTTTTGAGTGCAAGCAGCAATTATGAACGATGTATCAAAGTAATTTGTAAAGGTATCTATCCTTCTATCGGTCGAAAGACTACTAACTTAGAAGATGAAAGTCATGCAAATAGCGTTGACTTGTGTTTACAAAGCAAGAACAGTTTTATGGTGAAGCTTGAGCCGACATTGAATGTAATCGGAACGTGTTTCATGATAAATGTGAGTGAACGCTTCAGCGCAAAGTCACGCTCGTAAAGGAAGCATTCTGGCGCTTCGGCGTTTTTGAGTGCTTTGAGAGCTGTTGGGCGAAATATGAGTGGTTCCTAGGAACTGCGCACCCGAATGGAAGCGCTGGGCTTTCTGGTGCTTTTCCGCGCTCTTGGCTTTCCCGAGCTCTTGGGCGCTTTTGGGCGCTTTTGAGTGAAGTACGACGGGTCTCTTAGAATGCTCTTTTGCTAAAACACGGAAATTGGAGCTATAGTATGTAAGTTTGTACCAATTTGACAATTAAAAGATTCACAAACAGCGAGGGACTCATACACCGCTAATACGTCATTGCATGCTCTGTATAAACGTCAGTGAGCATTCAGCTGACCACCAGGTAGATTTCAACCTTAAGGTAGATTTGTGAATAGCAAAGTTACCTTGAGGTTGAATTCTACCTTGAGGCATGTTCTCAAGGTAGATTTTAACCTTAAGGTTCGTTGATGAATACCGCCACTGGATCGCCACTAAGCAAATGATATACGTGCATTGAACGCTTTTGAGGAAGAAGTTCTGCGAAGAGGAAAAAAAAGAAGAAAATGTGAAACTTTCAGAGCTTGTTTTGTGTAGGCCTGAAAACCCAAACTAGGAAAATTTGCAAGTCTGCGCGCACAAGACCGCTTATTTTTTTTGCAAAAAGTATTTACAAGATATCTTCCTTCCCCCTCCCCCCACATACAGAAATGAGCAATGCATTGCCAAATGCCTTTTTCGGAAGAAATTTTTAGGCAATCTCCGTATCAAAACTTATTCGAAGCAGTCAACATTCCAGTCTATAAAATCCCGAAAAAAATAATCAAGTGCGCAATAAGCAGGCAGCATTTATCCCATAAGTGACACTGTTTTGAAAAGAGTGTGATTTTTGCGCTTGCATGACTAAGGGCCGCATGCATTAACATCCCCGCTGAGGAAGGGATCGCAGCTTTAAAGGAACTCTTTATATTCTGAAGCTCCAGATATCTGGATTTCACGTTGTCTACCTATCCGTAAGTATTCCTACTATCCTTTACCATGAACATATTTAACAAGGGGAGGAAGCTGTACACACCGCATTTTTCAGCTTTTTTACGATCCCCTGATGATCCTTGGAGAACGATCGTTCATTCTTTAAAGATTTCTCTTCCTTAAAAGTTAATGAAAACATTCCAATGTTGCACTGATTATCTAACCCAACAGTGCTAAGCATATTGCTGATGAGAATAAGTTTCTGAAATATCGAAATTTCCGATAAATCCCAACTTTCGACCTGTGGTTCATCAATAAATTCATGACTCCAAAGCATCATTTGTTCTTATCAGCAACATGCTTAGCACTGTTGCATTAGATAAGCAATACAACTTTGAAATGTTTTCATCAACTTTGAAGGCGGCTTGTATAGCTTCTCGCTCCTGTTCAAAATGTTCGTAGTAGAGGATGGTGAGAATACTTGCTGATAGGTAAACAGCTTGAAATCGATATCTAGAGCTTCAGGATATGAAGCTTTCTTTCAAGCTGCATCACCTCCCTAGCGGGAAAGTTAATGCATGCGGCCTAAGAGAGTGCGATACTTAACTTTGGGTGGGATCTTTCTATTTCTGTGACTTTCTTTTGATAAGGTTACAACCCTGTACTGGCCGTTATCAAAGGACATGAAAAGCAGCTTCGGAGTGGTATGCATCTGCAGTGGGAAGCAAATTTCAAGGAAAAATTGCTGTACGGCAAAGGGGCCAGGAAAAACACGCGATTTCGCACCAATCCAATATATCGTTGGACTGTCATCCATCCCTGAGGCTAAAAGATACAGCACGCTGACATACATCGCCCTAAGTCTGATTTTGTGGCTAGCAAGGTAGTGACTTTTAACTTACCATTCAGCACAATTAACTACTTCATACCAGGGAACAAGTGCAAACTTGTTCAGGCAATGTATCAACTTCTCGAGTCTTTTGATAACAGAATACATGATACATTAATTTGAATGATTACGCTTAGTTAGTGTAACAGCTAGCTAAGATAAGTTTGCATGTACTTTACATAGAGGATTGTCCGCTATCAGAAGATGGTTTGAGTACATAAAAAGACTTTCACAGCTTTTCCCTAAAAATTTTTTGTGTAATCAAGCAGACTCTCTTCCTTATTGAGGAGTATCGGAGGGGATCTAGAATGTCAATACGAGGCCTGACACGAGTCGGTTTTTAGGGTTTCTGAAAAAGAAGTCTCTCCTGACTTTCAGATGCTTTACGAAAGCCCCTTTGACCTACCTGCTTAGAAGAAGATGAAAATAATAAGGATTTACTATTCTGAAAAAAAACCTGAGATGAAAATGAAAATCCAAATTAGAGCTGAATACTACGCATGCACAAGAGTTTGGCATTAAAGCGCGATATTTAACAAAGCGAGAAGAAATGAAGGCAAAAAACAAAGGAAAGGCAATAATATGAAAATGTCTTCATGCTTAGGGATAGATTTTTGACCGGGGAATCCGTTATTGTTAAAAAGATCCGAAACTTATGAGAAGTGACGAAAATATATGCTCGTTTGGTGACTGTTTGGAGACGGACTAATTTTGGAAAAGGTAATACTTCACATAAGTTTTCAAATCTTTTTGTATAATTCTTTTGCAAATAATTTTCTACGTACATAGTTCAATTTCGGTGTCATATGATTCTGTGGCTGTAAACAAACAATTTCTTTATTTTAGCCTTGCTTTCAAATGGTGCGCACTTTTCGCCATACACGGTAAAGCATGTTAGTCGAGTAATAATCTCTCGAAAAGCTTGTGTTCGACTAAATAGCGCTTGTTCTTGGTTCTTGGCGTCGAATCGTCAGGAACAATATCTCCTTCACTTTTTGCTACAAGAACGAAATCTAGCCTGCTTCCAAACGATCTGCGCCGGGCCCTGGGTCAACACTCCGTCTAACGGAAAAACACTGAAGCTAATAAACCATTTTGCTTTAGTTTTCTCTTTCCTTTCTAAGGTGCATAACCCCAACCACTCACTCCGAAGAATATCTGGCTCAAGAGTGCTTTAAGCATTGCAGCACATTCCATCTTTGATCCTTCAGGCAAAAAAAGGTCGGCAATTGTTACATTTTCTCAATAATACGCAAATCCCAGACGAGGCTTTTTGGACAACACTCACGGGCAACAGCGAGAGTAGGTCGGTCAATTTTTCAAACAGGAAAATCAGTCTTACATTCAGCATTTCCAGTCCCTGGCGGGACAAGCGCTAAGAAGTGGATGGAGTTTGTGGAAGATTACCGAGCAAAACACACATCAGAAGTTGCTAAATACTTAAAAACGAAGCTGCGTGATGCAAGCATGCACTATTATTTAGCTAGACACCAAGTGTGGTACAGTAATTGTGGAGGTAAGAGCAGATGAGTTTTCTAAAGAAAGAAGTTGTGGTACAGTAATTGTGGAGGTAAGAGCAGATGAGTTTTCTAAGAAGGAAGTACTTTTAGTGATCTCGGCCTTTCAATAGGGTTCCTTCATACTACGCCGCAGCATGCAACGACCTGCGGCGTGCGCCGCTGCAGTCGCAGTGAAAATGTACGCTCACGGAGCACAGCTTCGCCGGTTATGAATGTCTCTCTATATTTGCTGCATGTTCGTGTTCTTCGAAGGTTTTTTACAGCGAGCAAGCTTATATTTTCATTGCGATTGCAGCGGCGCACACCGCAGGACGCTGCGTGCTGCGGCAGGCTGCTGCGTCTTGGCGCGTGCGCCCAGCACGCTGCCGCACGCTGCGTCCTATGGCCTAGTATGAAGGAACCCATAAAATACCAGCTGGCATACCCGATTCCGCTTGCTACTGTCAAAACACTATGTTAAAGATTTTATCCCTGTTCCTGTACAACAATTCCTTTGCCCACTTACACATGGCAGACCCCTATCCTCGTTTCGTTGTCGAAATCAGCATGCTCACTTACCCCCCCCCCCCCTCTGTGCCATCTCCCAGGCCCGTAGCTCAAATTTTACAAAAAATCGATGAAATCGAAAAGTTGTGGATAGTTCCAATAACTTATATTGTATTCGTGATAAGCAGCACACCTCCCCTTCCCCCCATGCCAACACCTAGCTAGGTCAAATTATGCAAAACCGATAAAAATCGATAAAATGGATATTGATCGATAAGGAACAATACCTACGACCCCGAAGTGTACGTATGTCAGATCTAATCCGGATCGGTTGAGATGTGTGCCGTGACTGCAAGAGTGGTCTGTTGAGGTGGCAACTGGTGGCTAGTAACCCGGACAAGATATCAAAGTCTGCTCCTTGTAGAGCAACAAGTTTTGCTTTCTCTCTGACAAATTATTTTTGTGTTGACACATTCACGATAATACTCACGGTTGCAACATCGATACTTTAGGAAACGCACGCACCAGAAATTACAGAGATCGGGAAAATGGTGTATTTTATGTTTTTTGAAAGTACTCAAAGCCCTCCTTGCCACATTTGAGAACGGTGTCTTTTATAAGGGTCGCTTCGCAAATTCCAAACATGGATTTGAAATCAGGATTTCGAAACAAGCATTTCCTTATATATCCTACGTTGAAAGATGGGAGTACCAAATCACCTCCTTTGTAAGTGCGTTACAATGCTTTATTCTAGGCGAACTCGCACAAGATTCTTGCGTATTCGGTGTGGATGACTTGGCCAATGTATTGAAGCAACCTCATTTGATTGCTCATAAAATGTACCTCGATTTTCAACCTGCAGCATTCTTTTGCGTTTTAAAGGTACTCTTTCATTTATGAATTGTGCGCTTAGTTGATGGATGCAACGCAGGAAGTCCGCGAAAGGGAGAATAAGCCAAAGCCGCTCAATCTTACTCTATATTCCGAACTACCGCAAGTAGAAATAAGCTCTGGAGTGTCATACAAAAATTTGAAGCATCCTCTTTGGATGGTGTAAGAGTATTTTTCAGTTGATAATTATTCTCAGCATAAAAATTATTCTTTTAAGCACGTACAAGTCAGTTAGTTTACCTGTATAACGGGTTGAAAGTAATTCTTCGCTTATTGTTAAATCTTGGATGTTATTTTCGAAGAAATGAATATTGAACCGGATGTATACATGTGTGCTTCTTCTAAAATCATGTAGGCCCGAAATTCTCTTTCAGGTGAGATAAACAGTGCTGACCCCCCCCCCCCAAAAAAAAAAGAAATCCGTTAGCTGATCTTAGGGTGCTCCAGTGCTATAAGAATGCATGATGGCTGACAGCCAAGCAGCCGGTAACCGTCCGTAATGATCTGCGCTGTCTGCCGTAAGCGGAGCCTTCACCGTCGGGGTATGACATACAGACAGCGGACAGACAGCGTGCCTGCAAAGAGACGCAGAGACAAGTCCCGTAAGTTGCTTGTGAGAGCTCACCAAACAAGTTAGTTGTCATAATTCTGCGGACGACACTGCGGGAAACCGCACAATTAGGGGCATACGGATGGGGGTCAATGAACAGCTGATTGGAGCTGATTGCAGCTGATTGCAGGCAAGGCCCGTCACGCGTGAGGCAAAAGGGGATTTTCAAAACGAATTTCCCTTTGACCCAAAATTTTATACGAATACCTCTTCGAAAGGCAGTGTACGCTGTGTCTCATGGAGCTTAAACGCCGGAAATGTCTAGACGACACGTTCGCTAAAGCGGTGCAGGGTCCAAGCCAGGCGGCCGCGCAGGACCTGAGCCGCTCGAGTCAGGTTCATTCCGAATGAGACGCGTAGCCAAGATAAGTACTTCCCCAGCAGTCGAGAGGATATGTAACAGTGATTGAGAAGATTAAAAAAACAGAAAAAACAAAACCACAGACAAAAGTGAAATTTCCACCATATTATGCTGCCACTTCTGCTCATTTTTCAGTGCCCTTGGATGCAAAGCTCGCTAGTAATAAACATAAATTTAAATTCAAGAAAGGTACGAAAAAACACAAAAATTTCGAAGTTAAGGTGTAGTACTGAGACCACCACAAATTGCTTCAGTTACAAGAAAGACTAACCATCGACGATTCCAAAGACCGTCGACAAGCCTCTTTACCTCAAACCTCACGTGCTCCAAGTTTGCGTTGATAACCACTGACGCAGGAAATGCTAAAAAACAGTTTGGTTTTGGACAGCGCAATGCTGACTAAAGACATACTTGAGTAAACCCACCATGAAAACGTTGCACAAACTAACATTCGCGACAGTGTTGGTAGTACGAGAAGGAAAGTGGCCCTGGAAAAGAGTTCACTATGATGCCACAGACTTCTTTGAATTTGATTGACAAAGACAGCACCAGCAATGATTGCAGCTACTACGCCTCCAACTTCGTACTACGCCGACAATGCATTCGCATGAGACTCGTTCCAGCCGAAGTTTGAATATGAATAGTAGGCAACACAGAAGAAGAAAAAGCGATAATCAACTGTGAATACTGACAACGGTAGAATAGACCAATGGGTGACCAAACAATAAATCTGTGGACTTTTTCTTAATCATAACCACTAGCCATGATCAAGGAAAAAGTCCACAGATTTATTGTTTAGCCTAATGTAAGAGAACGAATGCCAATGAACCGCAAGTATGATGCGTGAGAAGTGTAGTTCATATTACATTTGACATCAAAAAAATGACGAAGAAAAGAGAAAACAAGAACAACAAGAAAACAACAACATTATCTGAGAAAACCCAGCGAAAGAACGCTAGGCAACCCATGCCCTCCGTAAAGTGATAAGTACAGACCGCCGAGTAGACTGTTGTTGACTCGACTCAACTCATCTGCCATTTTGACGGGATCAGGAAGACCTCAAACTATAATTCTGCCCGCAAATCAGGATGCATGAATTGAAATCAACAATGTCTCGTAAAGCTGATTTGAGGTTGGAGAACAAAATAAATTCAAACGAGAACAACAACAGTGAGTGCAGCAAAAGCGTACTGTAATGAATAGCTTTACAGCAAAAAATGTGTGAACTCAGCAATCAGATACAACAATCAATCCAGTTTGAGTGCAAAACTGCTTTAAAAAATTCAAAACGTGACAAACTTGCACCAAAAAACGCATTATGCGTTAAAAAATAGTAAAGGGCTATGATAATTACGCTACCCAGTTTTCTTTTCCATAAGTGCAAGTGACTACCAAATATTATACACCGTGAATAGTGTCTTCCGAGTTGCATGAATTAAGGCGAAGCTGAAAGACAGATATTGACAGCAAATGTAAGCAGAACTTCATATAATTGGACGGGACTTGAAAATTTTGGCCATAGAGCCAAAAGAGGTGCAGAGGTGCAAAAAATTTCAAGAAGTGTTATGTGAGCTAAGATAAGAATTCGCATAGTCTTCTTTCTAGCGCAATTCAATTGGAGCGCGCTTTCTCTCGTAGGAAACGGGACTTCAGGTGCTATTTTCAACTCTAGCAAGTAGATGAAGAGTTTTGAAAGCAAAATGTTACCATATACCAAGCTTTAGATTTAAAACAAATTTATGTAAAAATTTTGAAAAACTTAAGTAAATAAGTTTTGCCTATCCAGGTGCATTATATGGGCAATTGCCAACCTACCCTAAAATCCTACATATAAGCCCGCTTTTCTGACAAGAAAAATTGAGAAAATGCACCCCCGCACCGCTGGAAACTTGCCGATAAGTCCCTTTATCAGGTGAGTCTTTTACAGAAAGTCCGGCCTTATCTCTTACGAGAGTAGAAGAAATTTCTGCTGTTTACTGAAAGTAGGAGCAACCTCAAAATATCTCGGCACTTTCCTACTCGTAACGAAGTCTTTCACAGTTGCACTAAGAGAATAGTTGTGAACTCTTCGATTAACAACTTGCTGCGGTGCGAATAGAAGGAGTGGCACAAAACTACGAACAATCGTCCATTTACTCAAATTTGTAATGTAGACAAAGTCGATCCCTTTTATACCTGTTGCTTTTGTTGATATCCGGAACTTTGAATCGTAGTTTAGATCCACTTTATTCAGCAAAAAAATACGAATAAAAAAATACAAAACCTCTACAAAACAGTTCCTAAAGCTTCTCGAAAGACTTTATTACAAGTGTATTATCAACAAACAAAACAATAGGCACATTTTTTGACACTTTGTAGATGTCTTTTATTTGTGGGATGACTTAGGAGACAGAGAAGAGAGCAGTTTCTCCATACCCCAAGTACTCATTCAAGGTTATTTAGGAATCATGGCACAAACAACAACACAGGGAGGAATACATCAATGAGCATTGCTGATAGCGACCAAAATGTTTGAACGTTTTGAACTGTTTTGTGTAACAAAAGAAATCGCCTACGTTTTTGGTCATTTCAAGGGCTCTCTTACCTTACCGGAAGTGTGAAAAATGTGAAAAAAAAACACGCTGACCACATCTTGACACGTGGCAGGGAGATTTTTTCGCAGATTCTCGTAAGATCTGCGAAAAAAAATTTCTTATGTTCAAACACGTATTTCATAAGAACATTAAAAGTGGGGTCCTGATGCCGGAAGTGTACAAAAAATTTATATATACATGCGAAAGCTGTACACATAAACTTTTATACAGAATATGATTCGTTCCTAGTTTTGCAGCAATTTTCCTAATATGTCTCTTCCCGACAATTTCTGCAGAACTGGACCCGACGAAAGCTGGTTGATCGCGGATGATGCCGAGTCGAGTAAAGATGCATATGCGTCACCTACGGACCCAGACACCAGGAAAAAGTTGAGAGTATAGCTGGGTTCATACTGATCTGTAAGTACCGAAACATTCCGCGAACTGTGCGCTGTGTGGAAGTGTTCCGGAACTTACGGATCAGTATGAACCCAGCTTATTAGAAGTTACTTGAAAGACGTAATTTTGAGCTGTCCTCAGTGGAAAGCAAACAGATAGAGGATATTTTGGTCTAGAAGATTTTGTTCGTGGTCCGACATTCTTCGTGCTTTTTAAGGAGTTCGCAAACAATGTTCGTTAAGAACAGTGGAAACAATAGAGATCATCACCTTATCACCTTTCTTTGGCTTTGTAAGGCTCGGCATAGTTCCGCAGAGCAGCTAGTACTAAGGTTGATGAAAAATCTTATATAAAGTGATTAGTACTCGCCGGCCTTAACAAAGTCAGTTCCCAACAACTATTTATTAGCAAGGAGACAAACCGTGTGATTGGACAAAAGGCAAGTGACTTCTTTAACTAAGATAAATAAACTACAAAAGATCGTACTTGAGCCGTCGGCCAGCGGCGATGGATCGTTATGGCCGATGCCGAATAAATACTAGAGGAAATTGCTAACTACGAAATTACCAGATAAGAGTAAGAGAGTTAAAACAATATTCAATTTAACCTTGCTTAATTGAAAATACACAAGCTTTCCAACGAGTCCAATTTCCTTCGAGGGTTTTTGTAGGTTTCTTCTCTTATCTTGATAATTCGTTTTCGTCATATTCAATGTCACTCCGCTGCTACTCGTTATGTAAACGTAAGATCCGCTGTCCGTGCATGTGCGGGATGCTTGGCAAAGCACATTACAGGCTTACGGGAGAGGTCACAAACTAGAGCATTCCTCGGTTCCCTAAATTGCGTGCCTTTGAATATCAAATCTTGGGCTTTAATCGTGATCAAAAATTAATAGTCGCTAAAATTGTTTCACAGTGAACATGTATTAGGGCATGAAGCCATAACTGGTCTAACTACCTTCAGTTTCCTTGTCAGATTCCACATTCTTTATGCATACGTGTGAACGATTCATAAAGATAACGATGATATAGCGAAGAGACTAACTTAGAGAGTTTCTTCTTGCCCTACACGCTGATGTACTGACAGCTTTTGTAGTGGAGCAGTAGAAACAAGAATATTGAGAAGAATGGTGATATAAGTATGTACTTGAAGAAGAGAGTTTCTTTCAAATCACTAGTCATGCCACCCACTAATGGAGAATCATCAATCTTCGACTTCAATCA